CCACCTCCAACCCCCTCACCTGATAGGTGTGGTGGAGAATCTCCAAGCCTTTTTCCTCCAAGAGGTGGGGAAACTCCACCCTACTTACCTCCAGACTTGGAAACTACTCGACTTGTATCGCCTGTTACATCACCTACAGAACATGGCATTTACCATCACCATTTCAAGAAGAAGTTCTACCACAAGGAACGGATAAGTCCCCTTGAAACAGACCATCATCATCACCACCACCACAACCACACACATCACGGCAAGTTCCGTCCCAAAGGCAAAGACTGGCAGTGGAGGAATCGGTCATCGCATCATCAATCATCCCATCATCACCATAGCCGAAGGTCCCCTCCAGCACCGTCGTCTCATCAGCTGCCATATGTGAACACCTCTCACAACCACCACAACCACCATCGTCACTCTTCTGCCTACCCACCATCTGTACCACGTCACCATCACAACCACCACCAGTTGGTGGCTGCAGCAGCACCTTCACAGAGATCGCAAGGCCCACCCCCGCAAGGCCAATATTATCATTAGTGTAAGTTTGATGTGGTAATTACAAGCTTTTAAATAGCATTTAGATTTTCATTCATTATTTTTTTGTACAATATTTTTAGCAACCATATAAGGTTCTGATAATCACATTATTTATTAATTTATTTTATTCTATAGTGATATTACTTGCTTGTACTATCAGCCATTAATGATACTTTTGGTAATTCATTTATAAACATTTTGATAGGTTTACATTTTATTGTAAATTTTGAAAAAATACCTTTACAATTACAGTGTGGCTGTGTGGAGCAGAGGGATTGTTCACCAGGTGGCAGTGTGCAGTATTCAAGAACACCACAAGAACCAACTCCAAGACTAGAATGGCCACTTGGTATACAAGCCTTTGTGTAAATGTTTAGTCACTTCAGGATTAAGTTGCCTAAACTTTTTTGAATTTTGAAGAAAATACTGAAGATAATGAATTGCAAACAAAATAACAAAAATATTTAATTATAGACAGAATAACAAAAAATAATTACAAACAAATTCACTAAAAATCATGGCATAGCTGCAAGTGGATCTCTTGTCCTTAGGTTGGAGGATATTAAAAATCTATGGCCGAGTTGAAGAAAGATAGAATGACTCTTTGAACATAAGTATAGGAAGTGGGAATTGTGTAATTAGGATTTTAGGTTACCCATTACATAGTTACAATTGCCACTAAAGTCATAGTTAAAAAAGAAGTTTGGTTTGTGCAGAAACCAGATAGGTATATAACTTAGGGACCTTTATGTTCATATATGATTGTTCTACAGATAACTTTTCCCTCATACATTACAGTTTTCCTATGGGTTATCACCATTATTACACGTAAGCAAATCTGGGCATAGATAATGAGTATAATACCCATCATGAATGGCATTATTGTTTTATGTTCATAAAAAAAGTCTTCACAGGGTCAGGTTCCTAATTGTTATATATGAAATATTTATATGGGTACTTCACTGACTGATGAATTAATTATAACATATTTGATCACAGGCTTTTCCCCATCGGTCAGCCCATTGAAAATTCAAAGAGGAGACAGTTTATATTCTGATATCATTATTTTATGATAGCCAACATAGTCAGAAATGATTGTACTGCCAATTAGAGGGCCAGCTAATAATCCATACACATTTATGTAACACTGATATTGGGAACATGCTAGCAGCCTTAAATAGACAAACTCTGTTCATTAGATTACCTGTGAAAACTTGCCTAAATTTTAAAAAGGATTGATTCATGCCAGTTCATTATTGTTGAATTCCTTGGAAAACAATTTTGCATATATTTACATTTCTCATAAATTTCACTATTTTTTGGATAAGAATATTATTACAGCCCTGAATGTATATGATTTTTTTTTTTTTTTCAATAATTAAAATATATATACTTCACATATTTTCAGTATTTGAGATAGCATTGTCTCAAAGGGAGTATCAGATTTTTTCTATCGTAGGCTGACTAGTTTTTTTTCTCTATATAGACATAGACACACTGTACACATACATATCCTCCCCCCTCCCCCCACACACACATGTATGCATGCATGCAAGCGCTCATGCATGCACAGATGAACAGACACATCCCCCCCTCTCACATACATTCATATACACATACTCATTCCCATTTATTGCTAAATGACATAGGAAATTGAAGTTTAATATCAATGTTGATCATAGATATATGTGTACTGGTTTATTAGTACCTCTTTCAGGATTTATTTATATATGCTCAATTCTTATTTATATGATATTTATTTAGTTTCTTATACCTCAGTGTTTGATTTCAGCCGGGTTTGAGAAAAGCAGGAGGACATACATGTAAGGAGGGTATGCTGAACACAATGCTTGGCACTGAAAGATTGTTTTGTACACATGAAATTCCTGTCATTCATCAAGTTCACTATAATTGTGTTGTATTTATTCTTGTATAATATTTTGTAAATTTTGTTTTCAAGGCTGGAAATGTGTTCATCATACAACCCTAGCTTTATCAGTCACTTAACTTGCTGCTGAATTTGAGGAAAAACCAAGAGTATATGGAGTGCAGGCTAATTTTTGGTGTTATTTGAAGGTTATTAAATTCAGGGTCAAGTTAGCTGGGATTCATTCTCTCATGATCATCTTGGCAAATGCATGTGACGCCTGTTCATCCTATAAGGGCAGTAAGGATTTTTGAGGATGTTTGTTACTATTTTTGGATAATACCAATAGGACCAATTTGCACTGTTTTGCAGTTTTGATTTTTTAAGTTATTTTGCCATATGGTAATGCTTGGCCAGAAGCAGAGGAATATTCATCTTGCTTTTTATTCAGTAAATGGAAAACTTGACAAAGAACACACATATCAGTCAGTTTCTTGCATTTTAATAGCACTGATTCATTAGTTAACTTACTGATATATTTATCTCAGAACAGTTTCCTGTTGCCTTTTCTTAAGGGATGAAAAGTCTTAGGTATTTTCTGAACAAAAATTTTGACATCCAGGTTTTGTGGATATTTTGGAGACACGTGTAGGAGTAGTCATATATGCAAGTTGTTGTTTTTTGTGGGTATTAAGGTTTGATTTTATGCTACATCATAGTATGATCTCAAAATCCCCTTTAAAGTATCTTTTGATAGTCATGTATGGAGCAAATTTTTCTGGCCATTTTCCAGGGTTTTTTAAAGTGCATTTTATACAATTGCCATTTTAACTTTCATGTGAAGACTACAGAAAATTGTTCTATTGTAACAATCCAACAAAACATGTGCCAAATAGTAATATGTTTAGGAATGCTGCATGTACAAAATTTAGTGAGAAACACAGTTTGGTTTTGTTAACTCCATACAAGGTAGAGGAAACCTTGTTTAAAGCCCAAAGTAACAATATACTTGTGTTGATGTTAACAAGCTCGGTAGGCTAAGGGTGTGTGTTGTAGTGAATTAGACAACTAGTTCATCTTCTCATTTGTGGAATCATTTATAAGCTGATGAACAGCTTTAAATTCTTCCCTACCTTCAGCCTACAAGTAAAGTGAAGCACTGCCAAGAACTATACAATGAATTAAGACTTTTGTCTTCAGACATGTTTTCAATATTTGCTATATATCAATAATTTAAGCTGTAGGTATCCTATGTTGGTCCCAAAAAACATTTGCTGTCGGTGTGAATTGGTGAATTGGTATATCATATCATGTGACATTGCCATGGAACCACACTTGTAAAACCATGGAATTATTTAAATATATTGTATGACACTGCCATTGAACCATGCTCTCAAACCATGGGTATTGCATTGAAGAGGAAGTCTCTCATTTTGGCCATATAATGGAGATTTTTCTTATTCTTTTTATGTCTGCAGAATATAACATTTATTTATATCTCTCCAAGATTTGGTCGGAGAAACTGTTTAGTTGAATATGTACCTTACAGTACTACTGGTGTACTGTACTGAAATCTTCTTTTTCTTCTTCTGTAATATTGTTGTTATGATTCTTGTTATTATTGTTATCATTATTCTGTTTTCTTTTTTCTTCTTTCTTTCATTTCTTTTCTTTGTATAATTTTGTCATATATGTTATTTTTGAATGAATGAATGAATGAATGAATCTTTTTACTACAGTCTCATTTGAACTCATGAAGGGAAGTGTTAGGGATTCAGAGTAAACATATTTTTAATGATTTTTTAATACTCTCTTTTAATCTTCCTTTTTTTTTCTGTCCTTCTTCAATCCTTTCATTTCTTTATCCTTTCCTTCTTGCTTTTCTTGCTGCCAGCTGCAACTGTTACTATTGCTATTCTAGTGTTACTGTTTCTATCACTACTATTTTACTATTACTACTACTGCTACTTTATTGTTACTGCTTCTATCACTATGTTACTACTACTGCTATTTCTACTCTACTGTTACTGCTTCTATCACTATGTTACTACTACTACTCCTGCTACTCTATTATTACTGCTTCTGTCACTTTGTTGCTACTAATACTAATGCTATTACTTCTACTGTTGCAACAGTTACAAAATTAGTGATCATTATTGTGGTCAGTTAGGTCTATGATTATTATCTTTATTTCATACTATATTGATAATTAAATGCTTCATAATTTTTGTTGGTTTGCATGTTTGCTGATTGAATGTCATTTAATAAGGAGATCAGGAAGGGAAAAGTCAACCACAAACCTGTTCATGGCGTACTCTTTTTATTGATATTTCGATGCCTCATTTCCTTTCCTTTAGTGTGCTTTTTAAGTATTGTCATTTAAATTCATGTCCAGTTTTGTAGTGAAGTTATTTGTTTTTAAGGGAAAAAAATACTTGGAAATAATTTTGAGCGTTTGGAAATATTGTATTTCCAATTAGATGAAATATGCAGGAATATTTTTTGCATCTTTGTCACCAGTATCTTGGTATTGGTAAAGTAGATGCTCATATATATATGTGGTACTTTTTCATTCTATAGTAGCAAAGACTTCTAGCCTAATATGGCACTTGTGGAAGAGTACAGTCCATCCAGGGTTTTGGAGGGAAGACAGGAATTCATACCATCTCACATAGCACAGTATTAGCTGTGTTCTCTGTTGATCTTATTTATGGACATGTAACTTATTTTGATACTTTTGTTGTTAAAAATGGAATGGTCTCAGCCTTTTTTATATGTGATTTCTCTTCTTTTTTGAGTCTACATTTTGTCAGATATTTGAATAGGATGTTGTACAAAGAGATCAGTGTTTATAGTAATAGTCATGGTGTGCTGATCATGCAATGTTTGCAAGCAGTTCAATAGCTTTGTTATATCTATAATTGAGAATTGCCACAGATTTTTCACCAGTGATAATTGTAACCCTTTATCTTTCTTTTTTCTTGTTTCACTAGTTTTGTTTGTGATATGAAAGAAATGTTTTAATCTTTGTTGAAAATGTTGAAAGTCCTGCCTCACCCTTTTTTTGTCCTTTTTATTAAGATTTTGTGTATTGTAGAGTTTTAAGTAGTATGGTGATGCTGCCAGTGATCATTAGTGTAAATTTTAGCTTATGTGGTGAATAACTATTAAATCTGTTATTAGGAAAGCTATACTCTGGATGTAAAGATGGTGTTCATGTACCTATCAACATACAGACTGTAGCTTTTTTAAACAGAAGGGATGTCTACTGCAATGACTGGATGTAGTTCTGTATAGTGTGAAGTAGAAGTGCAACTTGCTGTGACAAAAGACAAGGTGGTCGTCACTGGATGCAACCTTTTTTGATATGCTGTAAAATACATGACTGATTTTTATACCTCTTTTTCACTGCCATTCATAAGAGCTCCATGCCCACGTGGCCTTCCTGTCAGCAGCCTGGATTATAGATAGCTATGAGTTGTTATGTATAACATAAAATTCTACTAGATTGATTGTTTATTAAACTGCCAAATTTTTCTTCAATGAAGAGTGTATGTAGTAAGAGGAAAGATGAGATGACTCTAAGAGAACTTAGTTATAGCATTCATGTTTAAAATTCCATGGAAGCTAATAGAAAGGCCAAATGGGAAAGTATTGTAAATATTGTAAGATAAAACAAGTGATTTTTGTTGTGTTGCTGGTCACAATCACTGATCTCATTGTGTGTTCTAATGCCCTGCTACTGCCAGTTACTCCTCATGGGTTTTTATCAAGTCACAGTGATGAGTACATGGAGTACCTTAGTGTACACTGTGTGCATATGATACAGCCGGCTTCTGGTTACTGCAACCAATGAGCTGGCTTGGGCTGTGTACATTTGTAACCAGATTGGTAATTTTTGGGTCTCAGACAGGGTTCTACTGAGGCATCTTTGCTGATATTGTATAGAGATTGGTCTTAATGAAGAACCAACTAAGACCAACAATTTCCATTCTAGTTACATTTCATCCCTGCAGAATGACAACATATGATAACTAAGAGAGATAGATAAAAGAGAGTAGCTCATCTTATTGTTTTCTTTCTGCTGGGCTGACAAACTCACAAGTGACAACATTGATGGTTTAAAATATAGGGATGATTAACAATGCATGTGTTATATCTTCCAGAATCAAATACTGTAATTTAAATGTGATCCATCCACTTTTTTGAAGCTATTTGCTCCACTGGTTTGAAAAATGATTATTCATAACAGTAAGGGCTTAGCGAGTTGAAACTGCTTGAAACAGTAACGGGAACTTGTAAATATTCATCTGTATGGATTCAGGTCAAGTAAATATGAGGCTGAATACTAAAAGAGCATTGGAAAACCTCACTAAAAATGTAAAAATAGATTAATCTATTCTGATAATTGTTCATTACCAGCCCATAGTAGAGTAAGTCTTCAAAAAATGGACATGACTGTAATTCCTCTTCATCATTAATGGTCTAAGATTACTGTAAAAGAGAAAGGTAAATATAATTTTTTTCTTTCCTCTCTCGCTCTATATATATATATATTACAAAGTACAAGGAAATGAATTTTTGATTTGACAAGCAATTCAACCATGGTTTATTATGTGTCCATCTTTTGATCATTTACCCTCATTTGTCCATATGTGGTTTACTCACTTGTGGGATCATGACTGTAAGTACAAAAATTTTGCCCTACCTGTACTTAATGTAAAATTTATCATTTTTGTATTGTACATGTATTTGGTTCTTATCTATGCTGTCTGTAAAATTGTATCCATTGTTCAGAATAAAATTCTCAATTGTTTTTACCATGACTTTATTTTGGGCAACATGTTAGTCATAAAAAAAGATAAGCCTTATAAACTAAAAAAGAAAAAATCACACCACTAGTCTATATGAAATGTACCGTCCAGCAGTTTCAGATGGTCGAATAATTTTCACTACCTGCCCACGTTTCAGGCCAAAATACCGTGCCACTGGATCTCCAGCCTGGATTCTCATAAGCTGATTATCCTTCAGCTTATATCTGGAAAATAAAATAAGATATTTAGTAAAGTATAAATTAATTTTTTTTGCTGATAAACATCTAAATAGTGAATAAATTATACTGTTTTTGACAAGCTTCTGTTAAAGCATTTCTGGTCAGTTGAAGAAACTATTTAGAAAACGAAAGGTAATCATATGAATAATAAATAAATGTTCAACTCCATTATTATGGAGTTTGTAATTCAAAGTATTCATAAACTACATACACTAGTTATGTATGGCCAGGGATACTTGAACAGGAACACAGTGTATGGTCAGTTAGAGGGGGTACCTCCATAGAGAACCATCCCCTCAAAAGAGACCATAGTGTCAACAAAACTTTCTGAATGACCCCCTCAAATCCCATGCCTGTTGTGAAGGGGCTTAGGAAATGGAGACTGGGACCTAATGCTAGGGATCTCCCTTACCTTAGGCTTCCAACCCATTCTACCATCCATTTTTTATGGTGTGAGAGCCTTGTTGAAAGGATGAAAGGCTGACATTGTGAAAACATGGGGGAGCCATGGGCATGATATTCCCCTGTTTGGTTGTCTAGCCCTTACCCCTTAATGGGACCTTGAGGGGAGGACCATTTCTCTCCCCAATATGCTCCAAGCTTATGATGACCAGTAATGAAGACTGCACACTTATTGATGGTATTGAGGCTTGCCCCTTTGTCAACTAGTCCTAAAGTTCAAAGTTCTTCTGATTCCCCGACCCCGGGGTAACCTTTGACCACGATTGAATACTACCCTCTCCTCAATACCTATTATTACAGTCCAGGCTAAATCCTCCATGTGGGTCATTACACATTCTTACCTCTCCCAACATCCTCTACTTCATCTCCACTCCCAAAGCTTTCTTTATCTACTACCCCCTACTCCCTTATTACTAATCTGCAGTCTTATTGTCCACCTCTCAACACTACTCCCTCTTCCACATATCCTTCTACTATCAACACCTATACAAACCTTCTGAATACTGTTTAGCCCAGTCAAATGGGATAAATTTTTTGTGATTCCCTCTACAGCCCCTCCTCTGACAACATTCTCCTCTTCCAGCAATGCCTCCAAATACAAGCAGACAAAGTTTCTTTCTGCAGCTGCTCCAATTGTTCCCACCTTGTCAGAGTTGCAAAGTCCTGAAGGCTTGGTTCAACTGGCATTGTGTACACACAGGTCTAGCCATAAACATGGCTATCGGGGCCAAATCACATCACTGAAGGAAAATCTGGAGGCTGAGGGGAGCCAGCAATAACTCGACCTTGAGTGTTCTTTTTCTTTGGATATTTCCTGGCTTTTCAGGGTGCAATTAAAAACTTTTCTATAATTCACTTAAAGAAATTATCAACATTTATAGTCAACAAAAGCTATATTAGGGATTTTATATAAAACATTTAAGACAATTATCTCAAAACTTGTTTTTTATTACCAAAAACAAATATACAAGTAATGGATAATTTGAAACAGGATCTACCCTTGAATCAATGGCCTGTCAGATTGGTGTTCATTTTAAATCAGTAAATCAATTTTTGTTCTTTCTTTACAAGAAACTAAGGTGAAAATGGGGAATAAGTCCTTTTGCTCCATGTTACTCAAACAAGTAGTACTATGCACAGTGCTACACAAGTGAGAGTCGTGTGGTCTGGTATGGTGGTGCTTTTCACAGTTGAAACACTACCCTTGGCAAGGCACTTGAACAGAAGTCAGGTCCAAGATGAAAACAACCCCAGTTGAACCGTGCCCTAAAGCTAAAGCATTATCAACACTGACTTCACTGGCAAACCCATTCCCATCTAGCCTCATCTCTCAATACTTGTACCAGAACTTCCTCCAACAAGCTGTCTTGCCTATGACAAGGATTGGTCAGATTGTGGAAAACACCTACTTGTCGGCCTCATGGACTATGAGGCAGTATCATTACAATGGCCTCCCCCTTGATGTTTATACTGACAGAAAGTCCTTCCCAGTCCAACCATATCACCAATCCCCCATTAATGTCAGAATTGCTGGCAGTCAAGATTACCCTGCCAAACACTGCTGCTCCACAGCCTGATGCCCTTTATGTGCCCAATCATTCACATGCGCCAACTGTGGTGGCTCCCATAATAGGTACCTGGCCCTCTTCCTCCTCCCTCAATGCATTGCACAAGATGAGCAAAATGTTCCACCTCATCATCTACTGCATTCTCTCTTACATTAACCTCTCCCTCAGGCCCTCAAACATTTGCCACCTCATCTCCCGCTCATAAGAAAACTTTGTTTCTTAGAGCTCCCTAACGAACTCCACTTCAGAAACTCTCAGACATTCAAAACTATCTAAATATGACCCAAGAGAACATGCCTGCACCACATCCATCGTCCAAACTCTCTGGTCCCATTCCCTCTACACTCAAAGTAACTGCCAACATCCCCCTACACCCATTCTTCCCACTCTCTCCCAATACATCATCCCCCTTCCTTCCACAATATCCCTTCTACTTCCCCCTGGATACTCATGTGACTCCTTGTCACAACAGCCACCTTCCCTGGACACTCTCCCTCCTAAAGCCGCAATCTAACCTCCCTTTCTCCTTTTGCTAATTACTACCTTACCCTACAGACATCACTGCATAATCCCACAGTTCTTCCTAAACAGTTCTGATCTAATCACCCTTTAATCCTAACCTTAGCCCATTTACTCACTGTCTACCATTACCCCTCTTTGCCCCTTTCAAGGCCATATTATCCTGCACTGCTATATGACTTTAAATGTTAGCACATTTAATTATCAACCTGTCTTTACCCTTTTCACATCAACACCTTTCTATAGTGCTATATGACTTTTGATGCCTAGCACATTTATTTTACTTTGTACCCCGCATCAAAGATAGTCATGGATTTCATTCATACCTTCACATGTCAACTGAAAAATTCCAGAAGACAATAAACTTAGGAAAGCCATTCCACCTATTTTGTCAAATTATCATATGTCATACAACCATACCAGCTACCCCATACCTCATTTTTCAACAGAAACAGAAAATCCTACAATAAACTTTCCAAAAGCATGCCATAGCTAGTATAATTACTGATGTACTAGAAACATAATTATTGACTAATATAAAGTTGGAGGAAGCAAATACAAATAAAATATGGAGTAAACTATTAATTGTTGATGTTACACAGATATACGACAATACCATGTGCAAAGTAAAAATTCTTGCTAATTTCCTCCATTATTGTTATTTTTAACATTCTGCTATCAGGATATTTGTAGCTGCTATTCCATAAATGATCTCTGGCTCTCACTTTATCCACCTGGGAGTAAATAATTTCCAAAGTAAACTCTTTGTCTTCAGCTTGTCGGTGTGGGTGTGTGTTTGTACTTGTTGATCAAATGAACATTTGTCAGGATATTTTTTAATGTTTTAACAATGCACCATTGTTAGTTGTATTATATATCACTTGTTTCTACAAAGGAATTATACCTAATATGATATAATAATCAATGTTGGGATGATCAAGTAATAAGCTTTCGAGTAAATATATTGGGAGGCATGATGACAGTGAAGCATCCAGATCCCAATGGGTTAAAGGAACAAAACTGTCAGAGCATGCGTAGGTAAAGACCCTAAAAATCAACCCAGTGTGGGAGGTTACAGAGGGGGGAAGGAGGAGGAGAGGTTTAGGACACATTAAAAAAAAACTGAGAATAGTTCACTGATGGACAAAACCTTAATTTGAAAATACTGTTATTTTGAATCACTTCTACACTACAAAAAAGTATGAGTTATGAAAAAAAAAACTTTCAGGAGAAATACAAAAAAATAGGGGTACCATAAAACAGGGATTAACTATACATTACAAATGAGAATGTCATATATAAATATATGATGACAGAATGTCAAAAATATGTATAATGGAGATCCTAACACTATTAACTCAGAGAAGCAATTCCACAAAAATCTTGCAGACTTACCTCTGAAGCAACTCTGTTTTCTCTTCTGCTGTCATGACCACATGTTCTGGTACAAGTTCGTGCTCTGTGATGTTGATCAGCAACTCAGATTCTAAAAACTGTTCAAGGATGTACTTGGGTGCCATGTCGACTAAAGCCTGAAAATTTATTACAAACAATTATAAAAATATATAATTTCAGTTTTGTTGAAGACATTAAGCCATCTTCTTGAAAAGTGGTGAATGTTTTTGAGTTAAAATGTGAATTAAATTTGTAAATCTAACTACTTATTTACACATCTGTACTCTCAGCTGTTAAACCTACTGATGCCTGAAAACAACCATGGTATGACAAGTGCATCCAGGAACTCAATAGACATTTAAACAAAATAATATATACACAAGGCTATTTCAAAATGTTGAATTATATTCTGACTAAAAGTAACTTTTATAGTTTACTGAAACTATTCTGCCTGCCTTCGGGGGATTAGAAGCAGTTACTAAACAACTTTTTTTTTTACAAAATCTGAATGACAAAATATGGACTAAGCACATCCATCCCATTAACAATAACATTGGCGACAATGAACCATGTTGTGAAATTAGGCACCAGCTAAAAAAGTTTGGGAACCACTGACTACCACTGACTTCACTTCATTCTCTCACATGTTGACATAAAAATATTAGCAGCCTAAGCCTCTTGATTGGTTCTTTGAACCAACTGTCATTCATACAAAATTCTATGGAAAAACTGTACTTGAAGATAGCCATCAACAGCACCAATAAGCCAAGTTGCTTGACCTATTCAACTCAGCATAACATGAAAAATTTGACTGAAGGTAATGCATTGTATATGTTGCAATTATTTTTACAAAAATCACATAAATATCTAAAATAAATAAATAAGTATATTCAAAAACATATATTTTTCTTTTTCTCTGTATACTTTAGAAAGTCAATACATGTGAAGGATGCATCAAAAACCGACAGACAGAGATAGACAGAGACAGATGAATATCTTACAAACTGAAATTTTGTGTACAAATAAGTCTTAAATCTGGTTATCAGAGGAAGACTGAAGTACCTGTTTGGCAGATGGAGACATTCCTGACTGCACAACAATGATAGCACGTTGAATATTCTCTTCCTGCATCCTGGTGCAATAAGTCTTGATTGTTCGTACCCCCACCTGTAAATTGATGATTCCATCTGTGAATTCAAAATCTACAGGATATGGATTCTCAAAATCTGATTTACTCAAAAATGCTCTAGTGACATGATAAAGATTATGATCATACCTAACGCACCTCAAAGTGGCCATGCTTATTAGCAATCTACACTGTAGGTTTCACATGTCCACATCCACACATGCAAATCAGTATCTACTGCATATCTATCTATTTCTATCCAAATGCTTAACCCACTGGCTGCGGATGGCATCATATGATGCACCGTGCAATTAAAAGCTGATCCCCTTCAAGCAGCGGGCGGCCGCGCAGCATGGGAGCTGAGTGGGCCAGGGAATATCAGCCGCCAAGCCGGCATTCCCCTTGCGGCCTTACAGGGCCCAGGCCCACCAGCCCCGGGCCCGCGTGTGCGATGGGCTGTTTACCGCCAAATGAGTTGTTCGCCTATTGAGCGTGCTAAAACCACACCCGCCACTCTTTCTGAGCACATTTACATATGTTTGCATGTTTGCATGTATTTGCAAGGGTTTTTGCAAATTTTTGCATACATATTTTTTCGCAGATATAAGTAAACAAAATATTTGCGCGAAAGAGGGAAGGCAGCACCACTGCGCGCGCGCGCGCGCACTCAAGTGCGGTCCCATACGCCACCCGAGTTGAAAATAATGAAAATTAGGGGATTACGCGCCATATTGCATAATACCGCGACCAATGGGTTAAGCCATATATAATGCTTTCTGTACTGTATAAAAGTTTATGAGAGTCTTGATAAATATAAAAAAACGTTATCTGTTGGTATGAGGACATAAGAACCTACCAAAAGGAAATCATACGACAAACCAAAAGGAAATTAAGGAAATTTGTATTTAATGTTGTCATAGCAGTTTTGGAATCAAACAATTGTTAATTTTCCCACCTGAAGATTAAATTTCTTTTAATTCTGAAACTGTTATCTCACATTCCTATGATTTTATTTCTATCTTTATTTCTATTATTATTATTAATTTTTTGTTGTTGTTGTTGCTTAGTATGGCTTCTTTGTTAAAAAATTAGGAACTGCTGAATTCTTATTCAAATCAAATACTAACCCAATGCTGGCAGAAATGGCATGAATGTACGTGTCATGCCCACTGTGAGTTTAGTATATTAACAGTCAGTCTGGGAAGGCTCCACAAGTACTTAATCACCAATAAGCCAATTACTAGAGGTACCTATCTCACATGGTTACCTTTATCTTTGATTTTCGGAAATATCTTTTTTATCTTATATTGCTGGTGGTAATATCATTAGCATAATCATGATTACAATACCAATAATAATAAGAACAGCATCAATATTTATAGCATTGGTAAATAACAAAAGTTCTCGAAATCAGAAAAGGAGACATCAAGTGAGGTCACAAGGTCCACTAATTGACAGCTTAGTGGATACGCACCTGTGGAGCCACATATGTGTAGTGACATTTCACAAAACAATACTACAGTGACTACATTTTTCCAGTAGCACTGGGTTAAAATATCAAAAACTAATTTTGGCAAGAAAGAAAAAAATGCAAAACAAGGCATGGAACATTTGTGCAGTTCAAAGCACAATTGTCCACGCACCAAAGTATCTATAAATAGCCAATACTCTCACAACAACCACAACTTGTTGATAACTATGCCAAAGTCTTTCTTAGACACTTGGTTATAGTAAGCACACAAAATATGAAAAAAGATTGTATTGGACAAATGAGGAAATTTTGATAGTTCCACAGTTGTATAAATAGATGGCAACCCAGCTCATAACTGCAGTAAAATTATAAAATAATATCAATATACACAGACTATACAAACCTTTGGTTCATCTGGGAAGAAAACAAACATCTGATCTGTTGGATCATCATTGTGGGCTACTAGCACAATCAGGTCTGATCTTGCAGGGTGACGCTCTGATGGTTTGTCTCCAAACTGCTCCTTGAATTGATCAAGTGTCTGATCCAATTCATCTTGTGTTACTAAGTACCCACGGTCGTGGCAGAGCTGCATGATGGTCTTACGGATACGCCAAAGCTTGTAAGTCTCAGCTTCGTCATCCATGATTTCTTTCCTTCACTGTAAAAAAAAAAAAGTTTTCAAGTTATTGGCTTGCATTAGAAAAAGGAAAATGGTGATTAGTACTTTAATCTCTACTGAGGTTCTTCAGTTTCTGATACTCACTTTGTACCTTGTGTGGTTACTCATGTCACCTTATAATGCTTTCCTTCTCCTTATCATTGTTCCTTTCTACCTATTTCTGTTTAGGCCCAATAATGTGTTATACATATTCATACTTTTTTTCCCACTAAATACATTCTTGATCTTCTGACTTGAGTTCTCTTAGAAATAGAATCATATGCTGTCGAACCTAAATGATATTGTACCAGAGCAACATACTTCTGGCAAAGAATACTTCTGCCAGTCTGATGAAAAATTAGACATTAAAGTGTATTTAAAAAATATACATATATACATTTACATAAAATGTACTTAAAAAATATAAACATATACTTACATAAAATGTAGTTTAAAGATATATCATTTACTTTCAAACACAAACTTTGGGACAAATGGAACCAAAAACACATGTATCATTTATTTTGGAGATATATTTACTAATGTTACAGTCTCTGCTAATAACAAGCCTTATCATGATACTAGATTTTAATTTGTGTAGAAATATTATATTTATATCTAATGGTTTATGAAATACTGACATTTATGATGAATGTATCCTAATTATGTGTCCTTTTATATTGCGCACCTATTTAATTAGGTCTCATGCATATTTTTTTGCAAACTGCATTTTGATTTTGGTTTGATAATCATACAGGAGTTCATTCTTTTCATACTGCTTCTGTACACAAAGGATAATGAGTTTCCTCAAATGAAAATTCTTTAATTTCATCTTGTAAAAAGTAAACTAAAGGAAAATTGATATTCTGTGTTTACAATGCAAAATTAGGCTATTTCTTTATCAGTTTCTTTCCCTTCTGTTTTAAAGCAAAATAATCTCTTGGTATGCTAGAAATACTGTTCAGAAACTGGAACCCACATGTTCACTGCATGAAAAGAGCTTTTAGAGGCTCCAAATCCACAATTTCTTTAGCTGCAACTGGAAAAGAAATTACCCCTCTTCTGTGTTAACACAAAAGGTTTTGCTCTTTTCCTTTAGAAATTAAACAGCAAATTGGAGAAATTGGAAGAACAATGGGATCTTCTAGGGCATCAATGGCACTAAAACTAAACTATGAAGTTAAAGTTATGCATGAAGCTGTAGTTCAAATATTTATATTGACATGATAAATGATGCAATATTTATGTCATAGGTAAAATTCAACACAGCAAACATACATCTCTATGTCCTCAATGATACACTATATGAGTAAAAACATCTCTTCTGTTTAGGCAATTTTACTGCCCAATTTTACCCCCCCCCCAACCCCCACCAAGGAAACAAAATATCCCCCACGTATTCACGGCAGGATAGAGTGCACACGAACTAGATGCATCGAAAAAGGCGCAAAACCCGCCGAGCTGACAAGGCCGGGCCACCGCCGTTCTTCTGTTCAAGGTATACCTTGTTCATCCTGATTATACTACAATCGTCTCTGTACACAATCCTGACTATGTCAAGGTTAGTATGCTGATTCAGTGGGAATGTTACGAGGTAAATGTAATACGTCCACCGCTCTGAGATCGCCGATAACTGTGTAACACTCTAGCCTGCCGGGAATACATGGTGGAGGGTTTGTTTCCTTGCCGGGGGTTGGGGAGCGCCAGCCCCCCAGGGGGGGTCACAGGGGTACAGGCCCCTGCAATAGAAAGTCACGTGAATAACCATGGTTATTTTCACTGTGGGTTATATTATTAGTGTTATTTAACCCCGCATTTTCCCTGGAACCTTTCATGCCCTCCCCTGTTATTGGGGCCAAGCTTGTTGCTAACTGGGGGTTTCCGCACAATAAAAACTATATATTTGCAATGTGGACAGTGAGAGGAATCCAACGATACCAAAATCGTTGATATCGGAGAGGCGAAGGTAATATAAAAAATTACCAAAATTGACTGTATTTTCCTGTTGTGAACACATATTTCGTGGTTTCCAGAAGATGGGAAACTCGACCGACAGGCTATGTTTTTATGCAACAGATGGGGACATAGTCAGTTCAGTAACTAAATGGGATAATTACTGCTAACTAGTGGCTAACCCTGATATATATCTTACTAGTGTATGTTTATCATTCCATTCCATCATCTTCCATAACCACCACCACTCCTGAGGCTAGTTAGCTTAGGTTAGGTTAGGTTAGGTTGGTTATTCGCCTTACCTGCCACATTTGCAGAATACAAAACCGGTACCCAAACATGCACGCGCATGCTCAAAATGCACTACCGTAGCACTAGTGCAGTTAGTGCTTATTACAGCTGCCATAACAACAGACAGTGCAAACAAAAAAATAATAATGAAAAAAACATACTTTTGACAGTATGTCTTATAGACCGTAGGGACCATACTATTTGACTTATCTTTTTATCATTTAACAAACCTTTAATAGATAACACCTGACTCATATGTAAATAATATCCTAATACTGTTTAAAATGTTCCTCTGAGCAGCAAAAATTTAACATCCATCTGTAGCCCAGACCACGAGATTTTAGGTGATGCAATATTAAGGCAAATAATATAGAACGACTTCTTTTTGGCCTGAAACTCTTGCGGATATTTACAACTTGACAAATTCTCCTAAGAAAATTTAATCTTTTAAGCATGCGCAAAAGAAAACCTGACATATAACTCACGGTTTCTAGAAAGAGTGCAACGTTTCCCACGTTTGTTGTTGTTGCCGAAAGGGATCATGTATATAAACCGAGTCTAAAGGATCTTGCGTATACAATAGCGTCAACATTTCGATGTCGATATGAAATTCCCATTTTCTCTATAATTATGCTGAATTTATCATGATGTATTTTGCATTTTATATATACACCTACATAAGAAAAATGGTGGGTATGACCACAAACCAGCGAAAACCCAGAACCCGTTAACATAGGGTCCCACATCTGCACATAGCCCTTGGGTTTCATCATAAATAATATCTTTATTTCACTTACCAAAGCTAGATATGTTCCGGTAACTATTTCATTATAGAGCGTACGTGGTTGCGTTTTCAAACTAGAAGCACTCATAAAGCGCATACATTCGGCAGGCAATAGGGTCACTGATGCAATAAAAATATTCATACAAAGAATTACATTAAAATCACCTCTTGCTTATGTACACTGGTGACGTCCGTTAACATAGCCCTGATGGCGGTAATAAAGGTAATGATAATGATAATAGGTACTCCTATTGCCTTGACAATAGGGGTAACTGATACAATCATCATGATACGTATCACCAGTAAATTTAATGGCATCTGGTAAAAGTGTAATAAAATCTGTTCATAACTTCTTGTGTTATCCTGCTAACCAACGATCAAACAAAAAAGTAACTAACCTATGCTACCAAAAACATAACTTCCTTGGATGAGATAACAAATCGCCACTTAGTTTCTGCTTCTATGAAGATGCGATATTTTGAAGAGAACGATGAGAAAATAAGATTTAATGAGAAGGACCCTCCTATATATATATATATATATATATATATATATATATATATATAATATATATATATAATATATATATATATATATATATATATATATATATTATATATATATATATATAATATATATATATATATATAGCAAGACCCCCATATTGGAACTGAAGGTCTTTGTGGTAGAAACAAACGAGGTAAACAATAATAATAACCACAGTGCACATGCCACCTCATACACATCGGTGTGGTCACAAGAAAATTACTAGAAACTAATTCATGAGACATTAAAGAGCCTGGACACAGATGAAATTTCTAACTGGGTTTATAGGGAATGTGCTGAAGAATCATGTACTCCTTTATCGTTAATATTCCAAAATTCAGTGACTAGGAAAATTATCAAAAGGTTGGAAACACGCCAACGATACACCTTTAATCGTAGACCAATTCGTTAACTAGTGTTGTATGGAAGCTGTTTAAAAGGATGATTAGGAAACAATGGCTTGAAGTACTTGAAAAACATGAAAAAAAAAACATGAACTTGGTTGTAAGGAAGGTCGTGTGTTGCAAACTTCTAATTTTATGACAGAGTATCTGAAATATTACAAGAAAGAGACAGCTGGGTGGATTGTGTGTACTTTGATTTTAAAAAAGCTTTTGATAATGTGTCTCATAGAAGACTGTTGTGGAAATTAGAACACGTTGGTGGAGTAAAAGGCAAACTCGAATGGATGGAAGACTTCATGAACGACAGATGAGCACTAACCTAACCTAATCCATATCCATTTCAATAAATCCTGCTGCTCCGGAGCACTATACATGGCGAAGCTTAACCAGTGGAGTGCCTCAAGGATCGGTCTCGTTTAGTATTTTCGTCAATGATTTAGGGTCAAACATAAGTCTAGGTAGTCATCTGAATATGCTTGCAGACACGCAAATACAAAGGATAACAGACGACGTCTCATGGCAATGCCTCTAAAGTGAAATCGAGAACACAGTATCAAACACAGCTGATAAGGAAAAAGACCTTGGGGTAATCAAAAACAGAAATCTAAGCCCAAATGATCACATAAATGAAAAGGTCCATAAAATGTTAGGACTGACAACCAACACGAGGGCATTCGTGTATGTGGACGAAGATAAGGTAAAGAAGATCATGGCAGTCATCATAAGACCTAGTCTAGTGCAGTGGCATGAAGCCCACACATAGATTAAAGGGCATACACAAACTGGAAAAGAGCAGTAACAAGATGGGCACCTATTCTGTGATATGAGCTAAGCTACATAGACTAAAGAAACTGGGACTTACTACTTTGGAAGAAAGAAGGAAAAGGGGGGACATGACTATGCTGTTCAACTATGTTACAGGAAAACTGAAATTTGACAAAGATGACTTTATAATTTTGAACAAAGGAAGGACGAGAGGACAATACAAAGAATTGAAAGTAAAAAGAGGCGACAAAGATGTCTTAAAGATTAGTTTCCAAAACAGAACTATTGAAGCATGGAACAGTCTTCCAAGAACGTTGTGTGTACCGAAAATGTGCATCAATTTAAAAAGCTATACGATGATTTAAATCTAGCAGACGGGACCACCCGAGCTTAGTTCTCCTGTATTGAAACGACAAAATAAGAACTAGAGGTAAGTACACACATGTATGTTTGCGTGTGTGATATACATACATACATACATACATATATTATATAATATATATATATATATATATAATATATATATATATATATATGTATGTATGTATGTGTGTGTGATATACATACATACATACATACATATATATATATATATATATATATATATATATATATATATATATATATATATATATATGTATGTATGTATGTGTGTGTGTTTGTATGTGTCTATGGTTCTAGGATACTATGTCACGGGGACACTATGTCGCGGACCTAATGTGACACAGCGTCCGTTTCGCAAGTGGATAAAATGTCGCGGGGAAGGCACGTTGCCATTTATGTCAGTACATATCTGTTCATTGTCGACAGATAAGATTAGGAAAAAGTGTTGAAATTTTAACAACAATAATTTAGTATATAGAATTTTATTATATATCTCTTCATTCTTTCCTGGCCAAAATGCAGAGACGCAAGGATATGTTATACCACCAAAGTATGCATGGAGTGTGTACTGCTGCTTGTATCCGACAGAGGCCACTTTAAACGTTCCATCACCAAACCAATGACGAGACGGCAAGAAATTTCGAAACAGAGTCTGCTGCGAAGATCACCCCATCATCTCCATAAGGAAGGAAGGCCTCTCCGCTTAACGTTGTCCGAAATGGCTGAAGATCAGACACACCTGCCTATTGCCGCACTCGCCTCAGCGTCCTCTTGATGGCGTCTGCCGTTGTATTAGATGAGCCCAGCTGACTTCAACTCTAGCGTAAAATGTGTTGACAATATGTGCGATGGGCTTTGCTGTAGCGGCAGCACGTTCCTTCATTGCTGCTTGCATCTCTTCCACCTTAGCCTTCACAGGGACAGCAGGATGTCTGTGGATGGGGTTTTGCCTCTTCACTATTTCCCCATTAACGGTGTGAACCCTGGCACCACAGGTTCTGTTTTCGCATCTTCACATAACTTTGTCCTGATGGTCCCTTTCCTTCGTAAAGAGATGCTGGCCAACTCTGAGTTTCACAGTCGCCCGGCATGATGTTATAATGTGACAGGCCTCGGGGACATTGACAAGAGGTGGGGGAGGGTAATCTTCATTCAATCCCTCGTACCATGAAACATCGAGTTCGGGTTAGGGTGGTAATGGAAGCTCGGTTGAGTTCTCCATGCTGAATGATGTCTCACTCAGTTCAGTTCAGTCCAGTTAGATTTGCGAAGTCATGCTTCGCCCGGGCCTTTTTTCTGGAGTGGCCCGGCCTGTGTTAACTATTTCTAGTTAACTCAGATGTTTTCTTTGAACTGCATGCTTATCGCGGTGGCTGGATTGCAAGCAAGCGATCCAGCTGCCACGGGGCAAGCATGTTGCAGACCCTTTTTACCAGCCCGGCGGCTGTGGTGGTGGGTCCCTGCCTCAGAAATTGTGTGTACACAATTCTGCAAGTAATGTAACAGGGTGGCGTTAGACTCGTCTCATTGTCAATAATTTGCCAAGCGCATTGGTAACCTAGTCTTAGTCTGAATAGTATGACCGGTACCTCTTTTTGTGTTTGGAGGAAGGGCCAGTGGCTCATAGCCTGAAGCATCTGAGTACCACTTGGCAGCGAGCGATTTTGTGATATTTTCTCTATGTGCTCCCCGGAGGACCGCACACGCTGCAGCTTTGGTACTGTGGCTTAGTCCCCTTCGGCTGGGTTTAACGATCATGGAGGATGGGGGCATACCCCTGCCCTTTTCGGCTAGTTTATCAGCAAGCTCGTTCCCGTGTATGCCTATGTGGCTTGGGACCCAGTTAATGATAATTCTTCTACCTTGACTGAGGATTCTTTGGGCTATGGTTAGTACTGTTGTCAAGAGGTAGACGTTGTCAGGGGGCATGCTATGCTGAAAGCTGTCAATAGTTCTTGAATCTGTGTGAATGACAACATGTCCTGCCCTTAGGGACGCGTGTGTCAGGGCTTCTATGATCGCAACCGTTTCAGCTTGAAGCGTTGAGGCATTGTCAGTGACCCTAATGGATGCTGTGGTATCCTTTGTTGCAAAGCCGGGGCCTGCAGTATGGTTTATTGGATCCACGGATCCGTCCGTGTAGTATGTTATGCTACCCGGAGGAGTTATTTGAACAATGACCCTTTGTGCTTGTGCTTTTAAGCTAGGCATTGAATATTGGCGGGGGTTCTTTGTAGTCAGGGTGAGCGGAGTCCATGCCCTTGGCAAGCAATGATTCTTTTAGCTGAAAGCGTATCAAAACTCTGGCTGTATGTGTGAGCCAGGAATTGTCCGCAAACAACTGGTAATCTTGTCGTAAGCGTCTGAGAACTCTTAGATAGGAGTTTGTGGGTGCCTGCAGGACCTTGGAAAGGAACTGTGCTGCCATTAGATCAATTCTGGTGTCCATGGACGGTAAATCAACTTCCATGAGGAGGTTGATGACCTTTGTCCACTTAGGTGCACCTAGAATTATCCTGGCTGCTTCGTTTTGTATTGTTTCCAGTTTTTCTTTTAATGTTGTACTGGAAGCAATGAGGGCGACAGATGCATAGTCAATAATAGGACGGACAGCATGTACATTGAATGATCTTAGTACTTTGTGTCCTGCTCCTATGTGTCTCCCTGTCATAACTTTCATGACTGACAGTCTTTCCTTGGTTCTGTCATGCAGGTATTGG